TAATTTAATAAAACTTCCAGAACTTATTGATAAATAAATAAAATTATTTTTGAAATTATTTTTTTTAGAAAATCTTGGTAATTTTTCTTTTTTTTTTTCTTTTTTTTTTTTTAACAATTTTACCCCAATCTCCACTTACTTAATTACATGAAATTTTGAGAGATTAAATTGCAATCTCAAAATTTGTTTTATTAGTTAAAAGCAGTACTCTTTGGAAAATTTAAACCATTTTTTTTTCAAACAGGACGCCCAGTTAACAAAAATTTGCTCTGAATCGTAAAATAAAAAACGCAATAAAAATATGACATTATTTAATTAGAAAAGCTTTTAATTGCTTTTATAAATAAGATTTATTAATGACACTGTTGTCTTAAAAACAGTTTTTTCGGTGAATAATGAATTTTTACAAGAATTGTTTTCATTTTCTTTTAATTTTAATAATTTAGATCGTTTAAAATTTAGCATTACCTCAATCTGGTTAGGTGATATTGTTATTAAGTGAAAACTTTATTTACGAATCAAAAATTGAAAAGCTTTAGAACGTTGTTTAACCCCAATATTTTAAAAATATTTTTTAATTTTTTTTTTTTTAGTGTAAAACATTCCCATTTTCATAAGTATGGATGTCCATCACGTGTTATAAGAGTTGCCTGCAATTCTTTCATTTTCATTTTCTTTTCTGTGTTTCATCGGGTTTACGTCTAAGCAAGGTTTGTTTCAAAATTTTAGAATTTAAAATTTAAAGTAATTTTTTCTTTTTTGAATTTTTATTTCAGTAAATATTTTTTTTTTTATTTAATTTATTTTAATGTGAGTCATGCTTCAGTTAAGTAATATTTTTTAGCAGTTTTTTTTAAGTTTATTCTGTTTCAGAGAAATAGTTTGATAAAGACATAAGGCTATAAATAAGTAACTAAAATTCAGTAAAATATTAGATAATGGCTGAAAATATTACGTAAATTTTTAAAAAATTACTAGTTAGTTAAAAACCAAAAACAAAGCGTTCACTTAGATTTCGTAAATTTATATCAATTTCTGTTCAACCATACTTAGCTTTTCAACATATTAGGCTGCTAACCAATCGATTAACACGTCAGAAAAACAAGAACACGCGGTTAAGAAATGCTTTCATACTACTTTTTATGGTATAAATAAGTAACATTTGTTTCAAATCAGATTAATTTAACTGCTAATTTTCATCAAATAACGTGTCACAAATATATATATATTTTTGTGGGGAGATTTTTAAAACCGAGAATTAAGATTTTTTAACAAATCTGTCAAAATAGCCGACATTTATCGATTTTCTGAAAGCGACCAAAAAGTTGAGATTCCAATCAATATAATTTCTATTTCTTGTAGGACTTAAGAAATCTTATCTTATCTTTTGCCTCATAAACCTTATTCCGCCATTCATTTACTCAAGCTGATTATATTATGTGCTGTTTTCCTGCTGTCTCTCTTGCTTTCAATCTGGTCCATGAGTATCAGATTCCTCAAGTCATTATTCCTCATTATGTGTCTCAGAACCGTCAAATGTCTTTTCCTAATGTTACGTATTAGTTTCTTTTTTGTTCATCTCAAGCAGTAAACTAAATAAAGCCACTAAGATGTAAGGAAGTACTTGCAGCGTATGAAACCGAGGAAATGTTTTTTAAGACAAAATACAGTAAAATAAATATGTTTTAGTTGCATTTAAATTTTTCAAGATCAAAGTTGACAGGAAAGCAAGAAGTCGAAAAAGTTTCACTGGCGAGAAATGCCAAAGAAGAAAGTGTGACGATTAAAATGACAGTTGCATTTCGCAATTTCAACAGTAAAATGGCAAGAATTCGTTGCCAATCTTGTACTAAGCTTAAATTTGTGAAGTCGAAGTACAGCTCATCAGAAAGATTGGCATAAATAAAATTTGTTTAAGCTCATGTCTTCGGCCATTGTTTTTTTTTTTTTTTATTGATTTCATCTTAATTTTCACTATTTGTTTATTGTATATTTTCTTCGCTTTCATATTCTGTTTTTTGTAATAAAGTTTATTATATTTAAATAATGGATTGTTAGTTTAGTCTTTTGGGTAGTAATGTGGCTGATGGTGACGAAACAATAATATGGTTTATATATATATATATATATATATATGATTAATACGAATATAAAGTTTGTCACTTAGCTGATTGATGTTACTTTCAGCATACTCTGGAGCTCCATAGAAGGACCATCCACCAATCACTCCGTCCACTCCTCAGGGGATATCGACAATTGACTGTTTTATTGTCTCATTTTTTAGGGATACGGGTCTCTGACAGATGTCAAAATCGGTCAAGTTTCGACCGGCTTGCAGCAATCGGATGTCTAGCGACACTGATAAGCTGTGATACAGCAAAACAGTCTGTCTGTGGATGACTTTATATATATATATATATATATATATATATATATATATATATATATATATATATATATGTACAGAGATTATAAACTCCAAAAAACAAAATATGTGTTTTTATATATATATATATATATATATATATATAGATAGATGTGTGTGTGTTTTGTATGTTTATAATATATATATATATATATATATATATATATATATGATGAAATATAGTTTTAAGGTGTGCTATATTTATAGAATAAAGTGCTTAATATCAGAGATAGAGCATATGTAAATATAAATATAAAGTGAACATTGAAGTCAACACTCAGAGGCCTCTGAGTGTTGACATCAATGTTTTTTATATATATATATATATATATATATATATATATATATATGGTTTGGGACTTTATGTGTTGGTGTGTATTATATATTCTTAATCTTTGTACGAGTTATAAGCAGGAGACTTGGAAAATTTAAATCAACTTTTGTTGGTAAAACAAGAACCCCCATTTATCGAAAATCTGCCCTGAATAATATAATAAAAATGTAATAAAACTAATACATTATTTAATTAGAAAAGCTTTTAATTGCTTTTATAAGTATATTTATAAATGGGAAAGCTTACTACAATTCAGCGACTGCCAGTATTTTACAAAGAATTTTCATATTTGTTAGTGTCTGTATAAATTTGCTGATATTTGTCAATATTGAAGCGTATATACGACATTATCAGAAAATAAGAGCGGTAACAATAAAAAATTTAAATGCAAAGTACTTAAAATTCAATAAAATATTACATTATTTAGAATATTTTTCCAAATTTTTAAGATTATTGAGTAGTTTTAAAATATATATATATATATATATATATATATATATATATATAAAATAAGGCGCTCTTGCTACATCCGTTAAGTAATTCTTACTGATATGTCCCCATGAAAAAGTTTCCAGACATATGCCTAGAGAGATAGTTGTTAGCACCTCTGAAAAATACCCAACTCCATGTTAAGAATGTTTTTTTTTGTGATATTTTAAGCTAAAAGAAAGTAATATTCGTTTCAAATCAGATTAATTAACCTCTTAATCATCTAATCTTCCTCAAATAAAATTTCAGAAAAGTATATTTTATTTTTGAAAGATTTTTTAACAAAGAGAATTGCCTTGTGCTCACAGAATTTTAAATATGGCTTAAATCAGCCAATTTTATCGATTAAAAAAAAAAAAACTCATTCCTGTCAATTTAAATTCGTTTTGGAGTACAGAAATGTATTTTGTTTATGCAAATATTAATCTATTAACGGGAAATTAAACCTAAAACAAAAGCTTCAAGAAAGATTTTCATTCTGAAACATTCGTTTTAAACCATAGGTATTATGTATTCTTTTATATATATATATATATATATATATATATATATATATATATATAGATAGATAGATAGATAGATAGATAGATAGATAGATAGGTGTGTGTGCGTGTGTGTGTGTGTTTAGAAGTTTATAATATATGATAAAATGTAGTTTTAAGGTATGCTATATTTACGGGTAAAAGTGCTTAATTGCGCGGATAGAGCGTATGTAAATATAATATTGAACATCGAAGTCAACACCTAGTGGCGACCGTCTGTTTCATGTGTTGTACGCACTCGTGAGGCCATATATTTTTTGTTTTTGCGCGATTATTTATATATATACAGGTCAGTGATGCATTAAGTAGTCTATTGTATTTTTATAATTGGTTATTGATGTGAGGTAACGATTATATTTCGAATTGCGTGGAAATAATTGTGGATCGGGGTGCAGTTCTTTAGCTCTTTATTGCACTCGGATCCACGATTATTTCCACTGCATAATCCCTAAAGTAATTCGAAATATAACCGTTATCGTCCACCAAAATAACCGTTAGAACAATACAGTAGACTACCCACAATGCATCACTCAACTGCATAGGTGAATAGTCGAGCAAAAACATAACGCATAAGGCTTGATAGTTGCGTATAAGCATGAAACAGACTGTCGTAGCTGGTAGTTGATTTCGAGACTACGAAACTATACCCCATTATAAATGGATCGACCTATATTATACACGTTAATATAAGCAAATATATGGATATAGATCCGACAGTATGAAGAAAAATATATACGGAAAAAACAAAACAAAAATCCTTATATACAATTATGCTGTTTTAATGTTAATATGTCAACGTCTGACGTTTCGGTCTAATAAACCAAAGATAAATCTTATTCTTATGTACATCGTCTTTGTCATGTTGTATTGATAATGTTATATTTATGAATATGTCCTGAAGATGGTTTATTACACCTGAACGTCAGACGTTATATTAACATTAAAACAGCATAATTGTATATAAGGATTTTTGTTTTGTTTTTTCCGTATATATTTTTTTCACACGTTATATATATATATATATATATATATATATATATATATATATATATATATATATATATATATATATATATATATATATGTATGTATGTATGTATGGGCAGATATTTTAAGTAGGCTTTATTGAAGAGCGCAGACAGTGTTTGCAAAACAAACCCGGTTTGTGATCTTCCCTGAGACCTACTGAAAGTAATAACTCCATTAACAGATGCATTCGACCAATCAAATAGTATTTGGGTGCGTAGCTACATGCATTAAACTGTTCGGTAGACCATTAAAACGACCTCGAAAGAAAACTGCAACAGTGGCGGCGACCACCACCACCCCATGCGGGAATACGAAGAGTCGCTGTCACATTTGGACCCACCACTGCCAGATTGCCCACCTGACAGGCTGCTTCCTCCTCCTATGCCTCCGCCTCCACCGCCAGCCAGTCCCCGGGGCCGGTTGTACGTAGATGTCAGCTGATACCCAACAGATGACGACGTTGACATTCCTGCCAGCAAGAAAATATAGGCAAAGTAGTCTTAGGTCTTCAAATTCAGATAGAAGAAGAATTTAGACGATTTCTGCAGAGATTTCGAATCGCAAAATGGATTTTGTTTCATTTTTCTCATTTTAAAAAATTTTTTTTTTTTTAATATCTATTAAACGGTTTATATACATGCCGATTCATTTACATAAATGCGGGTGCAAAAAAAATGAGGGATGGAGAGAGAAAGGTCGGGGATTTCAGGCCAGTGGGTTGACAATGACAACATACAGTCGACAACTTGTAGACTATTCACACAAATGACAATAGTGATTTAGTGTTGCTGACACTAGGATATTGCGAGACACACACAAACTCACAGAGAGTCGCGCACGCTTGACAAATTAATAAGTCCATAGCCTAATTATCAAAATATATGTACGCAACAAATATTTATTTATGATCATATCAGCTAATACATACATATGAAAAAAAAAAAAAAAAAAAAACACACACACACACGGACATATGTTAAAACATAATATATATGCTTATATTACCCGAAATATAAACTAGGTAATTTATAGTGTTGATAGCAGAATTCCGACAGAGGTTAATGAAGGAAAGCGAGAAGACTAAATGGTTGATAGAAAATGGAACAGCTCAATCTTGGAGATACCGAAATCAAACAGCAAAAATGTAAATATCTGAACAGAAAACAGAAAGTGTGACACGGAAATCCGAAGTTGCATTAGGATAACGAAAGATGCTTTTCGTAATGTATGGCGCTAACTTCGTTCCCAAATATCCAGACTGTTAACTAAATACCATCGCTTTCTTACATGAATGATTCAAAACAACTTATGAGCGAGTGAAGCCTGTAGCTGTCAGCGAGAACCATATTTCTTCGAACCGGGTGAACTGACGCTACATGATCACAGAGAACTGCATAAAATAACAGAAACCATAACACTTGATGACTTTCAACAACAGCACCAAATAAATTAGCTAGGACATCGAAGAGAAAATAATGATATAATCAATATGCTGACCTTCCACACAACTTCAAACAAAAGGTTAGGAAGGAAACCACAAAGAGCAAGAACAGTTACTGGACTTGAGAAATCTATTATCCTGAAAATTCTTTTAAGAGAAAGATTTTATAAATTTCACTCAGCAATAACACTATTCGATCAATGATTGCCAAAGGTTTCTTTATAAGGAAACGACTAATATTACTATTACGGTTATTATTAATATTACTATATTTTGGCCTTGAGTCAAAACTAAGCCAAGCTTAATAAGTAGCAAAGTGCACTCTCCGACGTCGGGTCATGTTTAACAAACTAGTCTCATTGACTATTACTACTGAGTAGTAAGTTCGATCCTAAATAGGTGACCCATAGTTGTTCTCTTGTGCCCAAACTAAGCTAAACTTAATGAATAACATCCCCTATAATAATAAGAATCTATTGCACTTTCAAAAGGAGTCGACTGGGGTCGGGATCACCGAGGTCAATTCGAACGATCCTTTCCTTAGCTGCATAGTATGTGCTACGCCAGGGCTATATACAGTTGTGAATTTAGAGTTTTCCTTTTCCTCGTCAGGTTGCCACGCAAGGCTATAGAACCGAGTTTGTAGTAATATTTACTATATTTACCTATATCTGGGAGTGGGGAAAGTAGGATTCATACCTTTCTCATGGATATTTGCACGTAAGTGAATGTAATGGATTCGACTGAAATTCGAACTCGGCTCTCAGCAATCCATTACTCTACAGTGCCACCACTTGGTGGCGGCATGGGTTGAGTGTCGGGAAAAGAAGAGATGAAATTGGGGCTAGCGGTTTCCATCTGCAATCTTAGACGAGTTGTGATAATCAACACAGGTCAAGTGAAGAATCCGTGTTTGGTTGTCATTTAATCATTTACGCATTGCACTTTCAAATTACCAATAATTCTGGTCTTTATAGAATTCACTTGATAAAAATATCTCTTCTCGAGAAAACTTCAAAATGTATCTAAAGCAGTTCTTTGCTGATAAAGAAAAGTTCATAGTATTTTGAATGTAACACTTGCCTGAATGAAGATATAACAAAAATGGTAAATGTGTTATTCGATAAAGTTGCTTATACTTTATGTTCCGTGTCTCCTCAGGTCGTAAGCGATCATGACTCTCCACATTTTTCTGTTTTTTGTAGCTCCGAATAAATTTTGTCTTGTTATCTCTCATAAACCCCGTTCCGCCATCCATTTACTTAAACTCATCAAGCGCATTATGCGCTGTTTTTCTCTGTTCCTCAATCCGTACGGTGAGTATCAAATTTTCCAAGCCCTCCTTCCTCATGTGCTCCAGAAATTTCAACTGCCTCTTCCTGATGTTAAATATAAATTTCTTTTAAAATTTAGTCGTTTCAGTCCATGCTGTCCTCAGCATCCTTCTGTAGAACCACATTTCTGTTGCTTCAGATCTCGCATTCATCTTTGAGGAGATTATCCAGTATTTATTGCCGTATAAGTGGTCAGATATCACGTAATAGTTCAGTAGTCTTTTCTTTGTTTCTAACGAAATTTTACTGTCTCTTAATACCCTGCTTAGCTTTTGGAAGGCATCTTTGGCCATCCCAATGTATTCTTCGATTTCAGTATCGTACCTTCCGTTCTCTGTTAGAACATTTCCCAGATATTTCAATTTTTGTACTTGTTGGATTTTGGTCTCTCGGATTTGCAATTTGCATTTTGGGCTCATATCCTTTTGCTAAAAATCATCCATTCTTTTTTCTTGCAGTTTATGCTTAGTCCTTTCTTTTGCAACCTTCTTGTAGGAACTTTTGTAGTTTCCTTTCCGTGTCTGCTATCAACACTGTCATCTGTATTTCTTATGTTGTTAAGAATGCAGCCACCAATAAAAATCCTGGCAGAACATCTAATTTTCCAAGAATTGCCTTTATAGTTTGAATGATTCCGGTGAGAATATACAGCCTTGTCTCACACCCCCCACTTTTTTATTTTTATATATATGTGGCATTCATTTTCTATCCGTATGCAGTCGATTTGCTGCCAGTATAAGTTCTTGATTTCTACTTAATACATGAAGCGAAGTTTTCACGTTCCTATATATATATATATATATATATATATATATATATATATATTATTTATTTTTTCACTTATTTTTTATCACTCTCCCGACATTTATTTTCCATAAAGCCCCTCTCTTTTTTTCCCCTCTGGTTTCATCATTAAGCAATATTTTCAAACTATTTCTGCTAAAGACATTTAATTATTTCTTTTACTTTCTGAAAGATGATATTTTGTGATCCGTGAAGCAAGTCTTTCATTTTTTATTTGCTCGAAACATTACAATCAATACAAGCCTTACCCTTGACTAATGAATGTAATTAAAACAATTTCCATTTTATTGTATTATAATCGAAATTGACAATTTTCCATAAGTTGATTTACCTAACAAAGGATTAGCATAAATTAGGCACAGCAATATCTACATACGTCATGTTTTCAGAAGTCCGGTACAATTACACTGACACACCCATACTCCTTAATGTGTCCCGTTGACACAGTAAATAGTATATATAGGGCGACGGATCTCAGCTAGCTAGATGTTACTGCTGTGATTTTTTCACAATGATGTTCATCCTGCACAAAGCTTGAGAGCCACTCGAAGTAGAGGGTTACATAGTAAGAGTTTATATGGATATATGGGGAAGATAACGGTTAACTCTAGACTTGAACAAGTTAAGATTGTAGTGATCGGGAAAACACACTCTTGGGAGTCACTTCCAAACAGAGCAGCGGTTCGAAGGAAGCTGCTTGAGTGGAACTTACGTCTCACAAATGGAATACAAAGGGAATAAGATTGATTCGCTAAAATGGGTGTAAGGAGATGTAGTTCGTTTGAGCATTTTCCATGGAAATAGCGATAGGATCGGCAGTGGCTTGTGACATTTCGTTTGTGAGAAAAGGAGTTGTAGGGTGGAAAATAATTCGTCACCCATAAGACAGGAAATAAAAATGGAAGAATCAAAATCGGAAAAGCTTTTTTTTTTATTTACAATAATGTTCATTCTGTATAAGGCTCAAGAGCCACTCGAGGTAGAGTAAGAGGCACATATTATGTGGATATGTGGGGAAGATAACGATTTACGCTAGACATGAACAAGTTTATATTGTAGTGAGCGGGGAAACGTCCTATTGGCTGTCGGTTCCACAGAGAAGCGATTCGTGAGAAGCGGCTGCTCGAGTGGAACCTAGGTCTCTCCAAAGGAATAAAAAAGGAATGAAGATGGTTAGCTTAAGCGGTTTTTTTTACGGGATAGAATTGCCAGCCTCACGCTAACGGTTTTGAATTCAGCGTTGTATATTACTATTTAACCCAGAACTGGGGGTAGAATAGATGGATTTATATCTCCCCTAATACATAGGCAAACGAAAAATTATGAAAGTCATTTATTTTATTTTATTTTATTGCATTAAAATTGTTATTAATCAATCAATACTGGAAATATGATAAACTTAGACGATAGTGGGAGTGCGAATAGCACGCTCTCAAGAATTTCAGTAATCTGCAATTAAGAGAGTATATTCATCATTGCCCTCTCTAGTCGACGATTGCAGGATGATAACGTCCTCTTGGCTTAACACACATGATATATTGTTTATATAAATAGTGTCGATAATGAAATCAACATTAAAGGGTTAATGCAAATTTTATTGCGTGAAGCTAAATACGATATACTACTCAAAAGTTCTATGGATGATGGATTGGATTCTCTTTTAGAATTTAACCCTAAATATATTTTGGAATGTAGGGTTGGGTTGCTTATAGTATCTAGTGTTTCAAGGCGGGTCGAAATTGATTCACTTTAGTCGTTTTCACCGTAGGCCGCAAAAGTTCTTCGAAAAGAACGCAAAGTGAATGCAGTACGGATTTTTGCCGCTATCATTTTGTAACTGCCCAGAGAGATTACTACGATAGAAATGGTGCAAACTAGGCGTTCGAGTAAGTATTAATTAAGGATAGCCGCCAAGTACATCAGTGCAAACGGCGCACAAGTGCCCGAGTGTAACGTCGCCTAAGGTCCCGAGTCCGAACAGCTCCCAAGCGCAAACGTCGCCCGAGTCCGAACAGCACCCAAGCGCAAACGTTGCCCAAGCCCTCGCGTCCAAACAGCTCCCGAGCGCAAACGTCGCCCAAGCCCTTGCGTCCAAACAGCTCCCGAGCGCAAACGTCGCCCAAGCCCCCGAGTCCAAACAGCGTACAAGCGCAAACGTCGCCCAAGGCCCCGTGTCCGAACAGCGCCCAAGCGCAAACGTCGCCTGAGTCCGAACAGATCCCGAGCGCAAACGTCGCCCAAGCCCCCGAGTCCGAACAGCGCCCACGCTCAAACGTCGCCCAAGCCCCCGAGTCCGAACTGCTCCCGAGCTCAAACGTCGCCCAAGCCCCCGAGTCCGAACAGCGCCCACGCTCAAACGTCGCCCAAGCCCCCGAGTCCGAACTGCTCCCGAGCTCAAACTTCGCCCAAGCGCAAACGTCACCCGAGTCCGAATAGCTCCCTAGCGCAAACGTCGCCCAAGCCCCCGAGTCCGAACATCGCCCAAGTGCAAACGTCGCCCAAGCCCCCGAGTGCGAATGTCGCCCAAGCGCCCAGCTCAAGAATACGAACAGCGGTCACATTAGTATGACAAAAGAAATTACTATGTAAAGAAGGTTTCACTGGTTTTATTTCACTTTTCTTGAACATTCCCGGATATATTGAATAGAACGGTTATATTCTTTTCTGTATAGCATCAATATATTCCCAATTACTTCAAGAATCAGATTGCTTGTTTGCTCATATCGCTTTGCATATTAAATATTAAACTAGGCCTAAAAAAATAAAATCAGCTCATCACAGTATTACATCACAATGGTGAAACCTATGCCGGAATAAGATCAAATGTTTCTGAAGTTGTCAGACGCAAAAAATTGTGGTTGGCGTGTTTATTTGACTACAGGTGAAGCAGATATTTTGCACTTGAGTTGAAAATGACAGTGGTAGAAAAAAAAGCATTCTCGAACGTCATAAGTGTGTAACGTCTAAGCGGAGAAATACAACAGACTTATTGAAAAACTGCTTTTTTTTTCTTCTTTTCTTTAAATCAATTCATCCCAAGTTGAACGATAAGGCCATAAAGACGAAATAGGCCACTGGAAGTAAAAGCGAATGCGGAGACTTTAGATGGAACTGGAAACGCGATCCTATATAGAAAATAAGTTATAAACCTTTACTCCTGTTCAAAAAAACAGGAGAGGTGTGTGAACCGGACTGAGATTTAGACCAAATAAAAAAATATACAAATATCCCCCAAAAAGGAGATTAGGTGCTTTAATCCTAAATTTCTAGCAGTGAAAAGGTTCAGATTGCAGCATCGTAGGCGATAAACTATCAACCCTTTACAATAACATTAAATATATAACAATAAATATACAATATAATTATACAATGTAATAAAATAAATTTAATAAAATTTCAAATAATATAGAAATATAATATATAACATTATATATATATATATATATATATATATATATATATATATATATATATATATATATATAAAGAAATATAGTTTTAAGGTGTGCTATATTTATGGGATAAAATGCTCAATATCAGAGATAGAGCGTATGTAAATATAAATATAAAAGTAAACATTGAAGTCAACACTCAGAGGCGACAGGCCTGACGATTGCGTCTAGCATGAAACAGCCTGTCACCTCTGAGTGTTGACTTCAATGTTTACTTTTATATTTTATATATATATATATATATATATATATATATATAATATATAAATATACAAATAATATAATAAAATAAATTTAATAAATATACAAATATCTCCCTTTGCAATCCTTCTCCCATTGACACAATTTCGCAAGCCCTTTTAACCCCATTTGCATGGAAAATGTTCTGAAATGTTCCTTAGTTCCACCTGTTCAGACCTTTACAACAAAGATTCGCCATACCACATATACACAGCCATTTTCTTTGTATTCCATTGATAAGAAGGAAATGTCATTCGAACAATTTCAAATCACACCGAAAACACAGGTTCTCGCCCGATCACTGAGGTGAAGCAGTACCTGATCCCCGCTGAGGTACCGCTTGGTAACACCGGATAAAGTAAGCAAACGTCTTACAATCAGAAATATGTTTCGACTTTAAATAACCCACAAAAGATTGATAAGATGAAAAAAAGAATCAATACCAAGAACTGATACTTTATGGTATAGACTCCCGAGGGAGTGCTTCCTCGAAAAGTTGGGTTGGCAGTAATCTATTGTATGTATCTTCATTATCTGCATTTAGTTTTTCCTTTACACCCTTAAAATAACCTCATTTAATAACCCTCTACATAGAGTGGCTCTTGGGCCTAGTATTTGGCGAACAATTATTAAAAAAATAAAAACAAACAAAAAACATTATGGTCTTTAAAATGTCATTCAAGCTGTAATATTTGCAATAGCTTTTAAAATTCTTCCGATTGAATCTTGGTTTTGGAAGATAACGATTTTGCCAGGACTTACATTTGATGGAGAAGCGATATCAGGGAATACGAAATGAAGAGATGACTTCGTATGGAACTTGCTTCGAGAAGATAGCACTGATCACAGGATACGAAGGTAGGTTAGTGCTCACTTTTGGGCTGACTTATGTTTTTGCTGCCATCCGAAAAATTACAGCCCTGCAACATTATGCCTGGCTTGCTCATTAAATAAATGTCGTTATATTTATTGTATTAGTGCAATAAATATTTTATTTGTATCTTTGTTGATGCAGAAAAGAAAACTCGTGATTTACTTATTAAGCAGGTCAAAACAGACAACCGGAAGAAAAAAAAATCCTGGAACGTAACAGGACTTCCATAAAATGACTGACACTTATAGTTATGTCACGTTGAAACACCGTCTCTCGTCCGATCATCAAGCTAGCTGACCGCTTGGTAATAAGAGTTTCTCTAACCCCAACCCAAAAGGCATTGGGCTGTGTCATTCCTCTCCGTGAACGTTATAGGGAAATATTTGGAGAAGGCCTACATACAACAATGGACGTTCACACACTGATTGAAGTTAATATGGTATCACTGTCCACTCGTTTTAGAGTTATGCTGCTCTGCTAGGACGACAAGCTAATCCCTGTTGCCGACACCTGCTCAGGCACATTTGTGTTTGTTCAACACCCACAGAGCTAGCCTGTGGTTTATACTTCATAGAGCGGACTTTAGAGTTACTAGGAGAGAGCGTATAACATGGCATGGTCTCTAGTTTGAATAAACGAGTACGTTCAGACTCTCGCTCACGATGACTTGCAAAATCGTGCTACACAACCATCGACAGCTTCCGAACAGTTCCCACGAACCAATTTCACTCATAAGGTTAAGATCAATCCGTTGTGTTGCTCAGGCACTTTCCAAAGGGGGCCGCTTTCTAGTATCCTCTCTCCAGGCGTATATTATTAAAACTCGTCTCCTTGACAAATTGGATATGGTGACACTCAAACAAGGGTCTTGTGGTTGGAACGATAACATTCTAACCACTCAACCATAGTGCAATGACTATACGAGTTATAACATCAAAACTTGATTCTTATTTATTTTTTTTAAGTTTGTGGGGGGGGAGGGGCGAAGGATATCAAATTCCTCTCATTCATTTTGGCTTCATCACACATCGCAAAACAGTAGAATTAGTTAGAAACCAAAATGATTACAGACTATGATTTAATGATTTTTTTTTTAAAGAAAATGTCTATTATATTTTTAAAAATAGAATCCTCTAAGTTAATGGGAGGGTGTTGGGGAACCCATTCGCCAAATTTTATCAGTCGTGATCAAATACGTAGACATTCTTCTGATACTTTGAAGGAGATTCAACAAAGACAAAGAATCAATTGAATTACAGGTGATACCAGACAAAAGAATTGGTTTTCCTCCAAGAAACGTCAAATGTGATAATATTAATAAAAATAAGGAGAAAGACTGAGGAAAAAAAAGCAAGAAAAGTAATTAAAAAACAAAATGAGAAACAAAAAAATATCACTACTTGAACAATTAGAACTTATAAAACAGAAAGATTTTATTAGAGACAAAGAAAAGAGTATTGAAGTGATGAAGGGACATATCACATAGGAAAGAAGAGGGAAGGAGAAAGAGAAGAAAGAAGAAAGAACAACAACGAAGAAGAAGAAGAAGAAGGCAAGAAGAGAAAAAAAGATGAATGAGAAGGAGGAGGAAGAGAAGAAGTAGAGAGGAAAAGGAGAAAGAGAACAAGAAAAGGTGAATAAGAAGAGAAGGAGAAAGAAAAGAAAGAAGAAACAGAAGGAGAAAGAACAACAACAAAGAAGAAGAAGTCAAGAAAAGAAAAAGATGAAAGAGAAGGAGGAGGAAGAAGAGAAGAAGAAAAGGAGAAAGAGAAGAAGAAAAGAAAGAAAGAAAAAGCGAAGAAGACGGAAAGAAAAAGAGACAACGAAGAAGAAGAACTGTTACGTGATATCTGTCCTCCGAAATGGCAGTGAATGATGCACAATCTCCTCACAGATGACGAAGAGACTTGAACTACAGAAATGTGGTTCTACAGAAGGCTTCTGAGAATACGATGGACTGAACATGTGAGCAACGACGAAGTTTGTTTTACAGGCAATGGAAACGAAAAAGGCACTATGCCTAATATGAGAAAGAGACAGTTAAACACACGAGGAAAAGGAGGTTGGAAAATGTGACACTCACAGGACCAATTGAAAAAAGGAGTGAGGAAAACAGCATCTAACCACCATGACGAATGTTAATGGGTGACAGAACAGGGGCAAGAAGAGATAGTAAAAAGAAGAGAAATTTCAAACAGCCTCAAAGGACAGGATATTGTGGAGAGCCATGAAAGGACTTGATATACAGAAGAAGGAGTTTATTTCTGATTTTAAAGTCGTATATCCAATTTAAACAGTGACGAGTTGAGTCGATGACGATGAGAAAAAACATTAATTTTACAAACATATTTTTGACAAAATCTATTTCATTGTCATCGCACTTACATCAGTGGTAAATATTAATAACATACATCGAACATTATACAGTGAAAATTTCAGATCAAAATTCAGCTGATATATTTTACTTGTTGATAATATAGATTATAACTTCAAAAGAATATCTTTCAAATCACTATTGAATCCGAACAGCATTTTGTGAATCAACCGTGAAGCTGACATCAGTTTTGTAGATCTTGATAAGTAAAAGATCATCTAAGTGACAAATTTTTATATATATATATATATATATATATATATGTAATACAAATAAAAATGCGTGTGTGAGCGTGTATTATGCTTAGGCAGCAATCCTCATTTTAACAGATATAGTTACCAAAATTATACAAAATATCTTGAAATACGATTACGTGATCCTTTTTTTTTTTTTTTCTACAGTATGCTGACCAATTTCTATATACACGGTAGAATCCCGACGTGAACTCCAATCATTTTTGTATATTGTCCGAGTTGAACTGCCTCATCTCCGTCATTGTTATCTCAGCGTATCATTTCTTTTACCCAGAGTTAAACGACCCTAACCACGGCACACTCGAACGAGGCCCTTTCTTACCCGCCGGTATTCGAGCATCCGAAACAAAAATCGAAATATTTTGCAATTTGAGAAATTTTAATCGAAAATAAATAAAAAAAATAAAAATAATTTTTTTTTTTTTAAATCTTCCAAAAGTCATCGAATTGTTGGATTTTAATCAAATTTTCCGTACTTTATTTGTTATATAGGAATAAATTGTCGCTGCCTACACTTGAGTTTGAACATAGGTCGCTGGTGAGCAAACACAGGCGATCCCATTATTGAATTAAGTAGACCACGTGGCCATAGAGGAAACGCATATATAGGAAGTCGCCTGATTGATCGCAATTTCTATTCTATCCTCTATTACTCTACGGACCACTATTCTCTACTCTATTCACTATATTATTTCACTATACGGATTACTATTCGGATCACTATTCGGTGGTTACTATTTGAGCAAGTACTATTAGTGATATTCGAAGGCGTCTGACACCAGTATTGTTCAACGGCGTTACTATAGTTGCATCTGCGATTACAAAGTCTCTACTATAACGAGCATTACGAAAGTAACAATGAATAATCGTTGACATCACAAAATTAATAAAGAAGCTAAATTATCTTAACAACGATTTCTTTCCAAAATTTGAAGAGGAAAAATAACATAGAATTCACTAAACACAAGTAGCGAACGAATGAGAAGAAACAACATTCAAAAATCGAGAAACGAGATGTGAGACTAATAATCTCTCAAATTACATGAGGGTAGAATAAGGAAACTTCAATTTGTGTGTTTTGTTTGATTGATTAAAATTTACGATTTATCAACACTTTATTGGTTATTCTAAAGCTGAAACCCATTTTCGAATATAAATTTCTTTTTGCAAGTAAATATTGAATTAGCCATTTTTTTCAGAATAACGATGATTATTTCAGATATAACTATTACTATTTAACCCATAGTTGGGAGGAGGAGGAGATGATTCATACCTTTCCCGAGGGTATTTGCGTGTAAATGAATATAACGAACCCAACTGAAATTCGAACGCGGATCTCCGATCTCTTATTCCGAATTTCTATCTATTACACTATCCGCACATCCTAAATTTATCTGGTTTCAACGTCGTCTTCAGCATCTGGTAAATCTAGAATCCCTAATATTTTAGATCCGCGGTTACTTGAATCTGCGGATGCAAAGTCAGCGTATAAGAAGGATTTACCTCCATTTTTTTTTCTTTTCTTTTTTTTAACACCGTAGATACGAGTTAAGCAGATCAATTTAAAAATAGGAAAACTTCATAATGTTCGATTCATTATTTGTCTTCGTTGTCTCTTTTAGAATCATACAATTGCTATTTCAGTTGCTTTCCAAAAACATATAAACAAATACAGAAATCCATCTTTTTTATTATTTTTATTCTGCAAAAAAACATCTGCTGCATCTTTGGTTATAAGAGAAAATAATCAATACAGGATATTCACATGATCAACGTTTTTGTATATTAATAAAGATCGAATTTTTGCAATCATTTTTTTAGGTTAAACTATAATTCCTTTCTGTCGGTTTAATAAAAAAAAAAAAAAAAGTAAAGAAAAGAAAGCGAGAGAGAGAAAGAAGTGCGGATAATAGGAAAGTCAGTCCAATCGTAAAAGAGCAATCATCCTTCAGAAGAAACTTGGTTAAATGATGCCGTGCACAGGTCTGTAACAGGAGGTCAAAAACTTACGCAATCAATGTCATATTTCACCCAAAGAAGCTGTTCCAAATTCGATTTTGACAATAAATATTTTCCCTGTGGGCGGTACATTTTATTCAGTACGAAAACATACTTATAACAAGTCAGTCAGTAAGACTAATTTGTCGAACAATGACGTTAACCTTCCATTTGTACTCTGGGGCACTGTCGCAGTATCAGTACCGTGTGGGTTTTCAAACACCACACTTAAAATATAGATATTTAATTTTTAATTTTATGCTTCTTTCTTTCTTTTTTATATGATCAGTTTTTTTTTAAATATAAGTATTATAAAAGCAAATAAATTATTTATATGTTATGAGACGTAACACACAATATTATAGTGGGGCCTTTATTAAAGTGAAAGAGACGATTTATTCACATACAGACAGAGGGCGTGATGGATCAATTGTCGTCTAAATTACGCTAAAATGAAAAAAAAAAACACTAACATCTCATTTTAACAGATATAATTACCAAAATTACAAAAAATTTCCTTGAAATATTAAAGAATAAATTAATTCATCAAAATCGCCATTGCCTTTAACCACAGCCTCCAGACAACTTCGGAATCTCCTGCAACTTTTCCTTGTTTAAGTTGGTGAATGCTGCCATAATCCTTGCTTTCAGTTCATCTTTGGTGTTACGAGTAGCTTTGTTGGTCTTTCGCCCCAATTGCGCCCCACACATAATAATCAAGGGAGTTAGGTGGCCATATGTAAGGGTTGATGTAGAAATTGTCTGACAGCCATGACTGGGTTCTCCTGCTTGTGTGCCATGATGCAGAGTATATATGAAATTAATACAAACATAAAATTTGTTACTTGGCTGATTGATTTTATATTCAACACCACGACTCCAGAGTTTCGAACCTTTTTGTATGCGTTAGGTTCACTCGTCAAGAGTTATCAACAATTGTCTGCAGATTTTCTCACTTCCGTTGTTTTTATATTAAGTTTTAAAAATAATTAATGCGCTTTTTATTGATGTGAAGCTGATTTGCTCTTGTGTGTGTGTGTGTTTGTGCATGTGCAGAATGTCGAATATATATATATATATATATATATATATATATATATATATATATCAACTGTAAATTGATGAGATCTTACTGGCAATCTAGTACGTTGCAAGACAGTTATTGATCTATCGCTATTGTCATGGAAAGTATTCAGACGAACTACACAGTGGTTTTCCAAGCGTAGCTTAGATGTGGCACAAGGCCGAAAGTAGGAGGCACCCAGTGAGGATCGAACTCACTACTCAGTCGTAATTGTTCCATCAGTTGTAATTTTCACGTCTAAGACCCACCATACCACCTATTCCCTGTTTCGTTGCTTTTTTTGCGTGTGTATATATCTAAATATGTCTACGTGTTTGTGTATTATAATCTGATTGTTGTGTATGTATTGTCTTTTGCAAGATTTCACCCTCCCCTGCCAATATCATAAATTCAAATGTATCTAAGTTGTAACGAAGCTCAGAATACCATAAGATTTTAATGTCAATTCCAATTTAAGTTTTTGGCCTTTCAATAAAAACAACATAAATAACAATTTTTTTATTTTTTCCTCAGTTTCTTATTTAAATAATTTTATAAATTTTTAAAATTAATACAGATTAAATTTAAAATTTTGAATTTTATAGTAAAATTTAATATTAATTAGTTAGAATGATGTCTATTTGAGTCTTACCCGAACATTAAAGCATTAATTAATTATTATAACCAAGGTTCGTTGTCAAGATTTTTGAATTCTCAAATACTTGTATTTTGATTGGTCATTGCAGCTTATGTAACAGTGTTTCTCCTATCGAGGGGTGTTTGATCGATATGAATCTTTTAAAATCCCTTTATTCTATATTCAACACCATCATTCCATAATACACCAGGAGTGTTGAAACAAAATGGCTATTTTTGTAGTGATTTTATAATATATTTATGTTATAATTTTCGAATAATTATATATATATATATATATATATATATATATATATATATATATATATATATATATGTTTGAAAGACAAAAGTATTTGTCTTATCCTGAAGAAGCCAAAACCAGCACAAGTTTATAACTTTTCCAGAGTCTTATGTACACTAGTGTGTGTGTGTGTGTGGATATTTTCTTTGCTAATTCGTTTCGTCCCCTGATAAATGGCGCCTAAAGCTGAAACGTGTCGGTAAAGAAAAGCTTTCCTTTTCCTCTATATTCATACTGTTTTTTATATATATATATATATATATATATATATATATATATATATATATATATATATATATAAAAGGCATTAATTTGTTTAAGTTCTTGAAAATTAGATTTTACCATACGCGCAGTGTTGGTTAAAAAAAAAAAAATCAAAATATTTCAGAATTTTTATTTTTCCATTTGATAATAATGTAATTGGATAGAACTTACGAATTTTTAACGCGTTTAACAGTTTATAGCTATAGAATAACAGTTTATAGCTATAGAATAACAGTTTATAGCTATAGAATAACAGTTTATAGCTATAGAATAACAGTTTATAGCTATAGAATAACAGTTTATAGCTATAGAATAACTTACAATATATAATAAACATTAAACACTATTTTTAGTGGTTACTTATATTTGAGAAGGCGCTCCGTTTATTTATGACACATTATATTTATTTATTTTGTTTGCCGGTTTGAACGCTTGAAAAATCTTATTAAAGACTAATTTGCGCTCTCTGGCAGGAATCGAGCCTGTGCCCTTCAGGGTAGATGGTACGCCTTACCGACTTGGTATATGTATATATATTGAGAGAGAGAATGAGATAGCAAAAAATATGTTATTTCTAACTGGCCCATGATCTCACACAATCTATATTAGGTCTCTCAACAATATACGTATATATTTTTTATATGGATAATTCCTTTTCGAATTTATCTATAAACTGCCCCACTCACCCAAGCAGTCAGTTTGCAGTAAGCATATTTTTGGTTCTATCATAACGATGATATTTTCCACTGGCGAACCGCATTATCTTTATTTTTATTAATTGTTTTTATTATTATTATTATTATTAGAATTTTCATCTCTTAGCAACTACCGCATATCTTTCTATTCATTTTTTGTTTGTATTTTTAAAACCAATTTCTACAAAATAAATCCACTCAAAATAAACATATATACCTATTGTAACACGTCACATCAAAAGTGACGAAAAAATTAAACTAAGTATTAGGTTGAAATTGGAATATTTCAATTCCTTGTCTTTGTACAGAGATAGAACCCTTCCTTTGCCCTAAAAAAATCTGCTTTCGGAATTGCATAGTACGTGGCATTGGTTCGAAGACTTCATGGATTTTGTGCTTGTAACTATAGCAACTGATGTGCTTCTGGTACAGGCAATGATGGTATCGGTCGATGACAGTAGCAGTTGCTGCGGTGGTTGGGGTGGCTTCAACTGTGACTATATTAACAAGAATCTTTTGAAAAGCATTTCGGAGGAGAATTGCGGTAAGTAGTGGCACGAAATCTGTGTTACTCTTTAAGTACCAATGCTGAATGGCAAATTAAATCTTATAGCAGCGGTAGGAGTTCTTTCCTGTGTAAGATTTTATATATATATATATATATATATATATATATATATATATATATATATATATATATATATATATATATATATTTTGGAGGAAAAAAGGAATGGCGAGAGATAGAGAAAACGATAGAAAAAGAATGAGAGCATAAGGGATAAAGAAAGGAAGGAACGCGTGACAAAGAGGTGGAAGGAATGCGCGAGAGAGACAGAGGTGGAATGCGTGCGAGGAGAGGAATAAGTGGAAAGTGATGTGTGTATTAGAGAGAGAGAGAGAGAGAGAGAGGAAAAATGAATGCGTTTCTGAGAGAGAAGGCGGGAAAAAAAGGATACGTGTGTAAAAGAATTCGCATGTGAGTGAGAGTGAAAATAAATGCGCATGAGAAAGAAAAAGTAGGGAAATGAATATGTGAAAGAGAGAGAGGCGAAATGAACGCGAGAGAGAGAGAGGGAAAATAAATACGTGACAGAGAGAGGGGGAAGCAATGCTTGTGAAAGAGAGAAAGGCGGGAAGGAATGCGTGAGAGAAAGAGAGAAGAAAAGGGATGCTTGTGAGAGAGGGAAAGGAAAATTAATGCCTGAGAGAGCGAAACGAAATGTAATGCTTGAGAGAGAGAGAGAGAGAGAAAGGAAAATGAATGCGTGACTGAGAGAGAGGACACGGAATGCGTGACAGTGAGAGCAAATAGAATGTGTGAGTGTGGGCATGTGAGAGAGAGAGAGAGAGAGAGAGGGGAGGAAGAATTGTGTGTGTGTGTGTGTGTGTGTGTGTGTGTGTGTGTGTGTGTGTGTGAGAGAATTAAAGAATACGTTGGAGAATACGAAGAAGCAGCGACTGAATTAGTGATGTGTCAATGTGCTAAAATATTACAAGGAAAAAGCCTCTGACGAGAACGGCTGTTCGACCTCGAAACATTATTTGTTCTCCACAAGCCATTATTCCATGATTAGCGCACTTTATGTAAGCCGTGATATCATGAGGAGAATTTATCCACATCAAATTTTCGCTATCTAATAAGATCTGTAGACGACACTGATGTTAAACGCAGAAAGAAAACTGCCAGAATTCATAGACAAGATAGTAATAGAAAGAAGGAAGAAAGGACTAACCATCAAATGCAAGCAGGCATAGATGTCTGCAAAAGGAATGTAAACTACCAAATGGCGATACCAATATCAAGTAAATTACGAAAATTTAAATATCTGGATAGTGTTTTAATAGATGATAGAAATTGTGACACCGAAAGCCGAAGGCGCATTGGAATAGGGAAAGAAGCCTTCCAAAAGCTAAGCAAAGTGTTAAGTATCTGGAAAATTTTGTTAGAAACTAAGTAAATAGTGCTAGCCTTCTGCTTAGTATCAGCCCTCCTATATGGAAATGAATGCTGGACAATTTCCTAAGAAATGAAGAAAATACTTGAAGCAACAAATGTGGTCCAACAGAAGGATGCTGAGAATACTATGAACTGAACATGTGAGCAACGACGAAGTTTTAAGAAAGACGGTAGCAAAAAAGAACACTTATATTTAACACTAGCCGAATTACCCGCACCTTGTTGCGTGCTACACATTTTTTGTAAGAAAATGATGACTGATTTTAAAACATTGTTATAATTTGTGTAGAAAAATGATGCATTTCAATATTACTCAATGACCTTGCCGATGTGACCTCCATCTTCTGGTTTTCTCTTTCCATATTTTGGATAGGAATTTAAATTTAATTTAAATCAAAGGGAAAAAATTAATTGGGGGTGATGTTTCACAGGAACTGCCTTTGATCAAAATGAAATATACTTATTTAAGTACCCTAAGAGTCATTCCCTTGTTAAAATTAAAATTTAATTTATATCAAATGGGAAAAGAATAGTGAGGCGTTTGTACACCTCCTACTCCACAAGACTCCCTTTGATCAAAATGAAATCTACTTATCCAAGTACCCTGGGTAATGTAGTTTCAGAATATATATGTTTATGGGAATCTATCTCCAAAACCCTAGAAGTTAGATAACAGACAGACAGAGGCTATAAATTTCTATATAGAGATTAGAAAGAAACAGTTTGAAGACACGAGGAAAAAAAGCCTGGAAAATTTGATACTCACGGGGCTTATCGAAGGCAAGAAGAAAGATGGAAGCAGTGAGCAACTTATGAACAAAACAAATGAATGATAAAACAGAGTATGATGGTGAAAAGACAAACGTCGCTAAAAGCTACAAAGGATAGAAAATTTTGGAGAGCCATGAAAGCCAAAGCTCTACAGGGACCCGGTACATTGAAGAAGTTCTTTATTTAACTTTTTCTTGACAACAATTCTGCTCGCCTTGAAAGCTTTCCAATTCAAGCAATTTGTAGGTGTTTGTAATTTGATGTGTAATATTAATATATATTTGATGTATACAGAAATTTCAAATGATTATTTCGTAATTGTAGGGCGTTAGGTTTTCAGTGTCCCAGTCTTGTGTCTCGGTCACAGAATAAGATAACCTTTTATAAACAACTTGAAAGATAACTACATCTTCAGCGGTGAATTTTTGTGTGAAAAGCTTCCAGCAAAGAACCAGGATGCAACAAACATCTTGGTACGAAATATATTTATTACGTACCTGATATACCAGAGTTAAACATATTATCGAAGATTGTATTATTCCCTACAGGTAACTGATAGCTCTCTTACTGATGGTGGACTTTTATAATGTCTGTGTTTGACATGAAAAAGTGAGCTCATCCACGTTCTCTTCTGGTGGTGTCTATCTCAGGGATGGAATATGAATAATCAAATCTTAGATATGTTGAACTATTTTATATCAGTTATGTTGTAAATCTACTTGGTAATCAATGTCAGTTTTCTAATACAAGACACTTGCATTAAAATATGTTTAATCCTTATAGGATACCTCATATTTTTAGTTTTTAAAAGGCTGCACTAGAAACATTAGCATGCTCCTCGAATTGATCAGACTGTGACAAAATGGGTTCTAGTTTTCTAACTCGAATAGACTTCTTAGGAGATATTTACACAGAAAGATGTAGATATAATAGCCGGCTTCCTGTAATACTCTAGAAAATAACTGACTCCTTCTGATATGCTCCATCTTTACAAGGGCAAGATCAGATCAAAACTTAAATATTGCTACTATATCTGGACTGAAACTGACCAACTCACATTTTCCAGCCTTAACAGAATTCGAAAACGTTTACCCAGCCTTGTGGGTAATGAATTATTTCCAACATACAATCTTTTTCTCCCACAGACGAAACGCTGTTTACTATTCTACAGCTTGTTTTTATGTCATATGTGGTTTGTAAAAAAAAGAAAAAAAAATGTACTGTTGCTATGGTAACGGAGCTAAATTACGTAGTGTGAAGCCACTTGGCGCTGACTGACCTGGACTCCTGCTGCGCATGCACACTAAGTTATAACGTTCTCGCTCGCTTCCGTTGTTTATAGCAGTGCTTGGAAGGGAAGTGTGTAGAGTGTGGTCGTCTCACCAAACCACAGAGGTTCCATCAGTGACCATGTCTTTTGCAGCAGTTTTTAGCCAACCACAAAATTCCGAACGTACGGCAGCCACTATATTCTTCAGATCTCGCCTCTTGCAACTTTTTGCTCTTGAAACATCAAATCCCACTTGAAAGTAACATCATTTCAAGACGTCGAGATAATCCAGGGGAATGAGGCGAGTCAGGTGCTTGCTGTCTATAAAAGAAATTCCAGGAATTCTTCCATCAATGGAAACGGGGCTCCAGAAGAGGACTACTTCGAAGGAGATTAAATGCACCAGTCCCGGTATTTTTTGATGATCATCGTATATTCAGGCGAACCACATTCCTTATTTCCATGTTCAGACCTTCACAGCTAGGTCCCACCATGCCACGTACACAGTCAACTGATCTGCATTCCCTTCGTATTGCATTGGTAAGGAGGAAGTTTCATTCTGACGACTTCTTCCCCTTAACTGTTACATTGTGAAACAGATGATGATGCTTTCTCGATCATTTCGATCTTAACCTAGTCAAGTCAAGGGTAAGCGATTTCTTTAAATCATATCTCGATAATGGCATCAAGACAGAAAATGAAAGACAGCGAGAAGACTGTAGGTGAAGGAACCGAAAACAAGGGACAGAATTCCACTCCTGTTCAAAAGACAGAAGGAGTGTGAACCGGGTGATAGGCGAACCTATCTACTCTTGTTTCCAACATATCTCCATAATAGGCTTAATATTTTAAAAAATGAAAAAAAAAACCAAAAAAAAACCCAGCTTGATCCAAAGTTACAGGTGTCACAATAATAATGTGTCTGTTTGACTAACTCGTTAACTATAACCCGATTGAAATAACTCCCTAATGAAGTACGTTTTGAAAGTAATGAGAAAAAAAAAATTTTTTTTAAATTAAGGTCACTTCTCAATGAAAATATTGGGTTGAAACAAAACTCGAAAGCCTTTTTCCACTATGTGGCGTTTGAACATGTGATTAATTTCCTCACGTGACTGAAATTTAGGTCACATACATAGAATTACTGAAAAGTGACATTTCAATGCATATGTGTCTTTCTGTACGATTCGTTTTTTTCGATTATGAATTTTAAATGACTTTACGTAAATAAAAAAAAACTGCAAAGGGAGATAAACACGACACGAGATATCGCAACTATACTCCACATAAACTTTCAAAAAGACGTTTGAAAACATGTGGAAACGTGAATCATTACGATATTACGGTACCTCACGATTTAAGGGGAAAGTTTAAAGAGCCGTATCTCCACCTGCGATTCTCTGCCCGGTTTTTTGAAAAGAATGATCACAGGTGATGAAAAACGGATTGTTTACAACAATGTGGTATGAAAAGGGTAAAGGAAAAAAACAAAAGAAAAAACAAAATGAGCCACCGCTAACCACTTCAAAAGAAAGTTTGCAATCTTGTCTGCGATGTACTCCCACTGACTTTGCATCTTAAATTATCACATATTTCAATCCTCACAAAATTCTCGTAATAGGAAGAACTTCATTCCTCTGGAAACCTGTAAAAACCACTTCACTCTGAAATCGGAGGATGGAATCATGAAGCTGCTTCAAAGGTGGCCAAAGGCAGTGGAACAAAATGGCACATAAGTAGTTGAATAAATCTATGTACAATTAAATAGTCTCTCTATATTTCTGTCATGAAGTATTGTAATTATTTACATTGTTCAGGCTGTTGTCCTCATTTCTGCCGTTGTACGCTTCGGCCTTCTTCAGGTGATTGTGATTTCTAACTGAACACTTTATTTCGTCCACCGAGGTAGATTGTTCTAGTTCCACGTGCCACGCCTCTTCCCTATAAAAGAGACCATGACTAAGGCCTATGTGTACGCCATCCAGTGCATCTTAAAGCCGTAACATGAGGGAAATAGAAAAAAGCAGGCGTGTCTGACCACATATGAAGGGAAAAGGGCGATCACCGTTCCCTGTGGTATGAGGTTGAAATAATAGAACATCACTGGAAAATACGAAAACTGAAGCAATCAGCACATATGTTAGGCCACAAAAATCTCCTAAGCAGGCCAAACATAAAAATGAATACAATATGGGAACAAGTAATACGGAGAGATAGAGGAAGACATTAATAACAAAAAATTGCAATATGAGCTCTGGTAAAAAAATGGAAAATGAGACATTAAGTTTATAAGTCCTAAAAACTATACACTGATGTCCTCAAGAACACATGGC